AGTGGTAAATCTAGTTGTATATGCAGCAAATAAAGAATCAACAAATGATTCAGGTTGTCTTATGATAAACAGTGGTAAATCTAGTTGTATATGCAGCAAATAAAGAATCATCAAATGATTCAGGTTGTCTTATGATAAACAGTGGTAAATCTAGTTCTATATGCAACAAATAAAGAATCATCAAAGGATTCAGGTTGTCTTATGATAAACAGTGGTAAATCTAGTTCTATATGCAGCAAATAAAGCAGCAATGGACAACAAAAATGATAAAACAATGCATGATACACAAAAGCAGATTATGAAGATTTTCAAGAAACCAAGAACGCTGTGGTAATGCTATAACAGAGAAGAATCTGGGGAACAGTTAGGCTTATAAAACATGTAAAAACAAATATACATCTATATCCCAATAAATTAGACACTGTTTTATCATGTATATAAAACAAGGCAAAGACAAACACACATCTATAACTCAACATGTTACATGCTGTTCTGTCATGTAGTGTATAGGATAAGGCAAAGCCAAACATACATCTTTAATCAATATGAGCACATGTTTTACCATAAGACAATACATGGTTAAATAAATATTTTACAATAAAACAATGTACAGTTATAAGTAACTGTTTTAGAATTCGAACATGTATGATTGAACGTAACTATTTTATAATATGAACATATGTGGATGAACTTAACTATTTGATAATATGAACATATGTGGATGAACTTAACTATTTGATAATATGAACATGTGTGGTTAGACATAACTGTTTTATAATACAAACACGTGTGGTTGAACATAGCTATTTGACAATACGAACATGTGTGGTTGGACATAACTGTTTTATAATACAACCATGTGTGGTTAGACATAACTGTTTTATAATACAAACACGTGTGGTTGAACATAACTGTTTTATAATACAAACACGTGTGGTTGAACATAACTATTTGACAATACGAACATGTATGGTTGGACATAACTGTTTTAGAATACGAACACGTGTGGTTGAACATAACTGTTTTATAATATGAACACGTGTGATGTGATGTAACTGTTTTAAAGTATAACGTGTGTGATGTGATATAAATGTTTCCGAGTATGAATGTATGTGGTGAGACATAGTGTTTTAGAATATTAAAACGTGTGGTGAGAGATAATGTTTTTTATAGTACAAGCACAGGTGGTTTTAATTAACTGTTGCACAACACTATTATTGAATAAAGCTGATAACGTATGAATTGTTGATAAAGTGTTCAAGATTGGGCTTTTTAAAGATATTTCTATACCAGAAACATTTACATATACAGTACAAATAAAATTTTATAACACATTATACGAATTTTCTAACACATTACTAATTAAAACTGAGTTTTATAGTTCTACAAGAAACATTTGTATGTTTTATCACTCACCTCATCTGCTTTTCTATCTGTACCTTGTAGAAGAAGATTACCATACTCCTTTTTCAGGAGTTGTCTAGCCTTCAAGGAGAAAAAAAAATTCCATTTACCTTTCAAAAGGTTATTTGATTTGAAGAAGAAAAGAATAATGATTCAAACAATTATCATTTACTTTTCAAAGGGTTGTGTGTCCTTCAAAAAGAAGAAGAATCAAACCAAAATTATTATTTCTGTTTCAAACATTCATCTACTATTGATTTCTTTCTGAAATATTGTTAGAGTAATTACAATATGAAAAGAACAATAAATAAAAAGATTAATTTGTGTTAATGGAAGATATAAAGTGCAACAGAAAATATTTCCTTTAATTTCTATAAAAGAAAAGAATACAATAATGTTTTGTTTGTTGTAACACAAAGCTATACAATAATAAACTAGCATTTTGTCCACCATATTTATAAACTCTTCAACTGAGCTAAGGGATAAATACAGTAATCCTTCCATAAAATATATATAAACATAAGTCTACACTGATTATTAGAAATCATACACACTTATAAACAAAATATATTAGATTTAATTACGTACCCAATTACCTTCAATATGTACTTACTTTAGTGTTTGTAGTTGGAATTTGAAGTGTGAAAGCCAGAGAATTATGGTCAAAATTGTCATCGAGTGAAATAAGAGCTCCATGTATTCCAGATTCTAATATATTGTGAGAATAATCTTTCAGTCCTATGGAATTCAACCACTTGATGAGTCTGTCGTTGGACCACACAAGTACATCTATAGGAGGAAATCACAGAATTAATAATGATTGATCAGCACATACTTAATATTGGATACTTTAATAATCAGCACATACTTAACATTGGATACATTAATAACAAACACATACTTAACATTGGATACATTGATAATCAGCACATTCTTAACATTGGATACACTAATAACAAACACATACTTAACATTGGATACGTTAATAACAAACACATTCTTAACATTGGATACATTAATAACAAACACATACTTAACATTGGATACATTAATAACAAACACATACTATAATTATCATTCATGCTACTGTTACGTCTCCATTTGTTAATTGATTTTTTCCGTAACTTCGTTCCGACGAAATTTTAACGACACAAGTCTTTACTTAATAAAACTGGTTTATTCTTTCCGAATATAACTTTACCGATACACCCAACTTC